CTAGAAAAAAATAAACCCAGCATGGTAGTGTGCACCTGTAGTCCCAGCTACTTGGGAGGCTGAGGCATGAAGAGTACCTGAGCCCGAGTTCAAGAGCAGCCTCCGCAACATAGTGAGACACTGTCTCATTTAAAAAAAAAAAAAATTAGGAAACACAGTTAAAAGGCATTCAAAGGCCGACCATTTCCAGGTTTGGCTCTTTGCATCCAAAGCTATTTATCACCTCAGCACTTTCACATATTCCCAGTGGCTGCAGGCCCAACCCCCCCCCAACTTGTTCAAAGAGATCTTCTATTAAACATCACCTTGCAGAGATGATTTCCCTCTAACTAAAGATTTCCTCCTTCAAAGAACTAAACACAAAATTTATATTAAAAATGTTTTGTTTATTGGTTGCCCTTACCACAAGACTATAAATTCTGAGGGCAGGAATAAACTTGTCTTTTCTTTACCACTGTAATACACAATCAATAAATACAGGGTGAATTAACATACTTTAAGGGGTTGAGGCACTTATAGTTTTGTTAAGACACCAATATAACATTAAAGAGGCTGGTACAAAGGATACAATCACCAGACAAGGGAGGGCAGTGACCTTCACCAACTACAAACAATTTCCTCCTATCTATCTTGTTTTCTACAGCTCTTATAGAGATCTTTCAGTGAGTGTGTGTAGAAAAGAGCCCAAATGTTAGTGTTGGTTTCTAAGTTCAGGTATGTTCATGGTCAATATTTCTACAGAAATGAATATAAATAATGTATATTAAGTTTTATAATTTAGCTAGCATTGACTGAGACATTTACAGTTTAAAACAGTTTAAAGGACATTATTATGAAAGTAAAAAGACAACCCACTGAATGGAAGAAAATATTTGTGGTATGAATATAACACAATACTTGTACCTAGTATACATTGGGAACATTGAGAACACTTACAACTCAGTAATAAAAAGACAAATTTTAAAATAGGCAGAATAAATATTTTTCCAGACAACATCCAAATGGCCAGTAAGTACATGAAAATAGGCTCAGCATAATTAGTCATCTGGGAAATGCATATCAAAATCATAATGAGATACCACTTCACACCCACTAGGACAGCTGTAATCAAAAAGACAGATAACAAATATTAGCAAGGATGTAGAGAAATTGGACCCTCATACACTGTTGGTAGGAATGTATTTTAAAAAGATGTACCCACTGTGGAAAATAACCTGGTAGACCCTCAAAAGGTTGAACATAGGATTCCTATATGACCCAGAAATTCCACTCCTCAGTAAATATCCAAGATGAAAACATATCCACAAAAACAAAACAAAACAAAACAAAACAAAACCTTGTACAGGAGTGCTCACAGCAGCATTACTTATAATAGCCAAAAAGTGGAAATAACTCAAACGTCTATCAACTGATGAACGGCTAAATTCATACAACAGAATATTATTCTGCCATAAAAAGGACTGAAGGACAGTAAGTGGTCTTTTGCAACTGGCTTCTTTTAGTTAGCATGTTTTCCAGGCTCATCCATGTTATAGCCTGGATGGAAAACGTGCAAAAGACCACATACTATGTAATTCTATTTATATGAAATGGTAAAAATAGTCCAATCTATAGAGGTAAAGTAAATTAGCAGTTGCCTAGGGTTTGGGAGAGATTGGGGACTGGGGACAACAGCTAAATGGCATGGAGTTTCTTTCAGGGTAACAAAAATGTTCTAAAATTGGTGACAGCTTTACAATTCTATAAACATATTAAAAATCACTGAATAGTATACCTTGAATGGATGAATGGTGTGGTATGTGAATTACATCTTCATAAAGAAGTAACAAAATGGTCACTTACATTTTTGGTTACACTTTACTGCATTTATCAGGAAAATTATATGTCATTTTGGTCTTCATAAAGGTCTTGAGGTTTATCCCTCCAAACAGAAATTCTTTCATTAAAGGAGACAAAGATAAGGAAGGTAGAAAAAGAAGGGAAACCTTCATAACTGAATGGCTACCATATCTAACAGATATAATTTAACCATTCATTCTTAATTTTTTTATTTTCTGAGACAGGGCCTTGCTCTGTCGCCCAGGTTGGAGGGCAGTGGCGCACTTGGTTCACTGCAGCCTAAACCTCTTGGGCTCAAGTGATCCTCCAATCTCAGCTTCCTGAGTAGCTTAGGCCCGCGCCATCACGCCCAGCTAATTTCGGTATTTTTTGTAGGGACAGGGTTTTGCCATGTTGGCCAGGCTGGTCTCAAACTCCTGAGCTCTGGCAATCCACCTCCCTCAGCCTCCTAAAGTGCTGGGATTACAGGCATGAGCCACGGTATCCAGCTCATTCTTATACTTTGAACAGTAGCTTCTCCCACTCTCACATTTTTGTCTTTACACTTTGAGAAACTAAAGAATGCCTGGCTTAATACAAAATGTTCAACTAATTTTCCTTAGTTTGTTGTAATATATTTTCAAGATTGATTGATTTCTTTTGTAATTATTCTGCAGAGATAATGTGATTCAAGATATGGGAAAATAACTAAAAGAATGTCTGGTACTCAGTAAGTGATTGCCATTATCATTAAACTACAGGAGATGAGAATCCTGAAGTTGATGAGCAAAACTGCAAGGAAGGGGAAGGACACAAAGGCTACACCCTACAAAAGCAGTCATCTGTCAAGAAAAGGAAACCCTTGGCAGAGCAGGCCAGGCTAATATGAGGATTGCAGCAGCAGCGGTATGTTCATCAGCATCACCATTACTATCAACACTATCATCACTACCACCCTCCTCCTAAAACATCTTTTTATACGCTTTAACTTTTTCTACTTATGAAACACTTAAACATATGGAAACATCACAAACCTTGCTAAAAGCACATCTTACAATTTTCCTACATTTGCACCAACATTTTCTTAAATACATGAAATATTAGATAGCTTTCTTCTATGGCAACCACTATCTTGGAAAATGGTGCTAATCACTACTACGCATATTCTAATATAGGTATCTATAAACAAAAGGAGTACTGTTTTGCATGTTTTTAAACTTTACCCCATAGCATTATTCGTCTGTACCTTGTTTTCTTAGCTCAAGATTTTGTTTGTTGTTTTCCAGTTCAGTCATGTTGTTTCATGCAGCTCTAATTCACTCGTGAGAACTTTTGGATAGTATTACATTTTATCAATATCACAATTTATTTGCCCATTCTCAAGCTAATGGAATGGTTTTTTGTTTTTCTTATTTTTTGTAAAGACATGGTCTCACTTGCTTTCAATTTTGTTATGAAGCTGCAATAAGCACAATCCTTCAGCAGAATACTTATTTCTAGAATATATTCCTAGAAAGAAAACTGTTAGGTCAAAGGATATATTTAATATATACCTCCAACTTCATCAACTAAGTTGATCTACAAAATAGTTACATGTTTTTACATTCCCGCCGAGTGGTGTAAGAGTTCCTGTTTCTCTTCGTCTGCAACAATTAACCATACTAGCATACTTTTTGCCAAGTGATGACCATAAAGTGGTACCTCACTGGCTTACTTTTTCTGACTCATAAGATTAAGTATCATTTGTTGACCTTTCAGGTTTCCTCATGTGAAATGCCTACAAACAGTATTGCCATTTTTCTACTGATTTGTAATCGTTCTTAAGACAGTCTAGGTACCAACCCTACATTGATTACATGTGTTTCTAAATGCTCTTTGCAAAAACAAAAAACAAGATAAACCTGTTACTGATTCTGAAATCTAGTAAAATGTAAAAGCAAAGCTAATTCCTGACTTTTCAAAGTTCACAGCTACATTCCAGATCTTTATGTCAGTGTTTCTCAAACCTTTCTGTCCACTCACAGAAGATGAATTCCTCATTCAGGGCCAAAACACATATACCTACACATAAACTGAAAAACAGGGCTGTAAATCCATTTCTTCTAAAGAATGGGTGACGTTTTCATAACCACAAACAATATACAAGGACAGATTGTCTCCATTCTATACAGCCAACATTTTGGTTCACATTTTGTCTGTTATGTAAATACATCATATAGCTTTCACAAGGTTCAGTAAGCAAGCGTCTATTTCGATTAACAACAGTTTGTTAAAACCTTTAACACTTGATAACCATCATATCCATCAGGATGTTTGCAACAATAATGAAGAGTGTCCACTCTACCCCACGAATTAAGAATTAAAGTACAAGCTCAGACTAAGCAAATGAAATTTTTCATTTTCAGTCGCACTAGCATAATCAATTTTTTACAGATAAAGTTGCTCAAGTTGCTCTGTATACGTGAACTGATTCTGAATGTTTTAGTGACAGACATCTCAAAAAAGTTTACTTCATTTACAGGAACACTATCAAATGTTTCGGAAAACAAAGACACTGCATTAGGGCATATAATCATTGAACAGGAAAGGACTTTAGGTCACTTACTCTAAATCTCTCATTTTCAGGTAAGGCATCTGCAACCCAGAAGTTGTAAGAAACTTGCCCAATTGAGATCCTCTAAAATCTACAAATTCAGAGTCTTTTCCACTGCATCACCCATCTTCTTACATTAGACTTCTAAAACTATTTCTCTATTAATTTCACAAGAATAAGTTGTTGCGTTATAGAAATGACAGAAGTAACTCCCAAACCCACATCAATCTTTTTCTTTCCACTCCCCTACCTTTTCCCTCCCTTATCCTCCATTATCATTCACAGAATGAAAAAAAATACCTGACCACCTGAATTTCTGGCCCTAATTGGCTGTGGAGTCCCGACCCCCTGCTACTGTTTCCTTGTTAAGCTAACTGGAGTTTTTAAAATTATTCATTCCTTTATTCAAAAAATATCTAAGCCCAGACTTTGCAGAAGCGTGGTGCACGCAGCTCCTCCAAGCCCGCAGACCACCGCGGGCTGGCATCCCGACGCCAGGAAGCCGGGGGCGCTGGAGAAGCGGGGTTCCCGGGGACGCCTGGAGGTCGGCCGGGTGGTGGGGGGCGGCCGACAGGTGCGGGGGACTCACCTTTCCGCAGCTCCCGCTCCCACACGGTGACGATGGGCCGCGAGTGTTTACGGTGGTGAATGAGCCACAGGGACAAGGTCTGCACGCTCTGCTGTGAGTTGCTCAACTCCGACAGCTTCTTCTCCAGCGCCGCCTCAGAAAAGGCTGACATCCCTCCGACACCACGTTCACGCCGTCCCACGCGGTGGGGCCGAGGGGAGGAGAGTTTCGCCGCCCTAGCCGCGGCCTCGCCCCCTCACCCCACCCTTCCCCACGCTCTCACCACTGCCGCCTCTTCATCCAAGTCCGGCCGCAAACCAGCAAGATGGCGTCCGCCCGGCAGTGACGTCACACGGACCCACGCCCCGCCCCTCCCGCTGCAAACCCTGGGAAAACGCGCGGCCTAAAAGCGGAACCACCAGGCGGAAGGGGCGGAGCCGAAGCAAGTTCAGGGAAGATGGGCAGGGGCGTGACGCCTGGGTTAGTCTCAGAGGCATGGTGGGAGTTTGCCAGGCCTGAACCCTCCCTAAGGAAAACTCTGCCAAGGAAGCAGTGATTACAGATCTCTATATAGGCGTGTAAATTGGGATAAATTGGGGCAGGCACTTTAAAGACTATTTGCATGATATTTAAAAATACACCTTCCTAAATAGAGTATAGGATGGTTACCAGAGGCGGGTAAGGGTAGTGGGGGAGGGCTAAATAGAAGGACTAATAGAAGGACTAAATATAAATAGGACCTAGTATTTGATAGCATAACAGGGGGACTAGAGTCAATAATAGTTTAATTGTACATTTTAAAATAACTAAAAGTGTAATTGGATTGTTCATAACAAAGGATAAATGCTTAAAGGGATAGATACCCAACTTTGCATAATACGATTATTAGGCATTGCCTGTACCAAAATATCTCATGTACTCCATAAGTATGTACACCTACGATGTACCCACAAAAATGAAAAATGAATAAAAATTTAAAAACTATAAAAATACACTTTCCTAGCAATTTCACTAATTGCTGTCAATGCTGGAAAAAAACACCAGCATGTTTGCACCAGGAGGCTTACTCTAAGTGTTCAGTCCAACACAGTAAGAGTGAAAAATTGGAACATTCACTGTTGCAATCTACACAAATACATGTATATTCCATAATACATGCAGCAGTTTAAAATAAGGATTAATCCAAGATATGGTGGATTTGGAGGGGTTTGAGTGGGTTTTTGTGGGATCTTTTTTGAGAGAGGGCCTCACTCTCACCCAGGCTGGAGTTCAGTGCCATGATCACAGCTTACTGCAGCCTCGAATTCCTGGGTTCAAGCATTCCTCCCACCTTGGCCTCTCAAAATGCTGGGATTACAAGTATGAGCCACCGTGCCCAGCTGGATTTTTTCTTTTAATTACAGAAGCAAAAGTATAGTATACCACTTCTTGTTTAAAGGTATGTAATTCATATGGGTTCACAAGTACGTAAACGCATGGCAAAGGTTTGGAGGAATACACACCACATGAATATTGGTCTCAGGGAGAGGATCAGAATTGGAGCCCTTAAATTGTGTCCATATTGTTTTCATTTTTACAAAAAGAATATGTGAATATATTACTTATATAGTTAAAAATTAATTACAGAAATCTTATTATTAATCTAATGCAAACACTGTCACATCCTAAATTTTTTTTTGAGACTGGGTCTTACTGTGTTGCCCAGGCTGGAGTATGTGGTTCAGTCATGTTCATGGCAATCTCAACCTCCTGGGCTCAAGCAATCCTCCTCTGTGTCAGCCTCCCAAAGTGCTGGGAATACAGTTGTCAGCCTCTGCGCCTGGCCCTTCTTAATACAAGAAACTTCCCGAAAGATACATAAGAAATGATAGGAATTCCTAAACTATCTTTTGAGAAGCACCATTCAAGAACTTTGTGGCCAGATGCGTGGTTCATGTCTATAATCCCAGCACTCTGGGAGGCCAAGGAGGATCGCCTGAGCCCAGGAGTTAGACACCAACCTGGGCAACACAGTGAGACCCTGTATTTACTAAAAATTTAAAAATTAGCTGGGTATGGTGGCATGCGCCTATGGTCCCAGGAAGCTGAGGTTGGAGGATCACCTGAACCTGAGAGGCAGAGGTTGCAGTGAGTCATGATCGTGTCACTCCACTCCAGCCTGAGCAACAGAGCAAGACCCTGTCTCAAAAAAAGAAAAAGAAGGGCAGGGTGCAGTGGTTCACACCTGTAATCCCAGCACTTTGGGAGGTCAAGGCGGTGGGGGGCGGTGTGGATCAAGAGGTCAGGAGTTTGAGACCAGCCTGACCAACATGGTGAAACCCCATCTCTACTAAAAATACAAAAATTAGCTGGGCGTGGTGGTGGACGCCTGTAATCCCAGCTTCTCAGGAGGCTGAGGCAGTAGAATCGTTTGAATCCGGGAGGCGGAAGTTGCAGTGAGCCGAAACCGCACCATTGCATTCCAGCCTGGGCAACAGGGCGAGACTACATCTCAAAAAAAAAAAAAAAGAAAAAAGAAAGAAAGAAAAGAAAAAGAACTTCAAACAAGTAGGAACTGAATATGTATATTTGTGCCTGAGGTTCAGAGATATTGTTGTAGAGGTGAAGTTCACTCTTTTTTCGCCTCCTTTCACTCCAATATCTATTCCTATCTTTACATTTCTTTCTCCATTGTACATCTTTTTGTTTATCCAATCTATTTAGCCTAGCTTTTAATTTTAATTTAGTTCAAGTTTAACCCTTTTTTTTTTTTTTAAGGAGACAAGATCTCGCTTTGTTGCCCAGGCTGGAGTGCAGTGGCATCATCACAGCTCACTGCAGCCTCAACCTCCCAGGTCAGATGATCCCCCCACCTCAGCCTACCAAGTAGCTAGGACTACAGGCGTACCATCATGCCCACCTTATTTTTAAATTTTGTTTGTAGAGATGGGGTCTCGCCATGTTGCCCATCCTGGTCTTGAATTCTCAGGCTCAAGCCATCCTCCTGTCCCTGCCTCCCAAAGTGCTGGGAACATGAGCTACTGAGGCTGGCCAAACCTATCTATCCTCTGAGACCTTAAAAGTATCTTCAACGCTATTCCCTTCCATGAGCCCTGTAGCCACCAAAGACTACTTCCCATCTCCCAGTGTCTTCACCTGAGATTTCCACTATTCTCATTCTCTATCTCTGTCTTCCTCTGTGTCTCAATTCTACCTAAAATTTCAGCTTAAATTCTGCCTTAAAGTTCCAGGAAATAAACAAATTAGGAGGTTAGGTATTCTAGATGACTCTAGCTGATACTCCCATACGTGTAAATACTGCCTTAGAGCCATTGTCACGTCAGATAACTCAACAGCCCATCTTCCTACAACAGGAATATGAGGTACTGCCTTTAGCTGAACAAAAGATGATGTTCTCTCTGCAACCTTCCGATCAATAGAATCTTAACAATGAGCCTGAATTTCACAGAATAACATTCCTGCAGGTTGACTTCAACTACATCAAAATGGGGTACTGAGAAAGTAGGAAGATAACTGTGGTTACTGACAACTAGACTGCAGTCTTGCCAGTGAAACATAAACTGTTCTCACAGGATATAAACAATAATTAGGCAAGTCCATTCTATGACTGTAGTAGAGCAAAACAGAGCCAAGGCTACCTTGCAGCCATGAAAATTGCTGGTATTGCCTTCTGATAACTAACATGAATAATTACACCTTCTTAGCCAGTGACATCTCTAGCCCCATCTCAACCCTCTGACCTCCTACATAAAAAATGATCAAAAATCTACCCAACCACCTAGTTGCTCCTGCTCCTCACAGCACCTAATCCAGAACTGACTTTGCACCTCTAAAGTATCCTTAGAATCACGCAAGCTCAAATCTTAAAATAAGCCTTCCCAATTCCTTCTAATAACATACCCCATAGTTTCTGTGGTGTGTTCTCATTCTTGTTTGCTGCAGCAAACTAAATAAACTTTGTTTAAAGTTATATGGTTCTTATGGTCTTTGGCTGGTGGGTTTGGTTTTTGTTTGTTTGTTTGGTATTTTTAAGATAGGGTCTTGCTCTGTTGGGTGACAAACTTCTCTATTTCCCAAATCCATTCCTATTCCATTTTCCATTGCCTTCTATCCATTAAACAGGCAAACATCATTCTTCCTGCAGCACTCTAACTTCACCCCACCATCAAAATAAAGAACTTTCTCAGCTGGCTCATGTCTGTAAGCACTTTAGGGAGGCTGAGGCAGGTGGATCACTTAAGGCCAGGAGTTCAAGACCAGCCTGGCCAACATGGTGAAACCCCATCTCTATGAAAAATACAAAAATTTGCCAGGTGTAGTGGTGCATGCTTGTAATTGTCAGCTGCTCGGGAGGCTGAGGCAGGAGAATTGCTTGAACCTGGGAGACAGAAGTTGCAGTGAGCCAAGATCATACCACTGCACTCCAGCCTGGGCAACAGAGCAAGACTTTGTCTCAAAAAATAAATAAAATAAAATAAAATTTGATTTGAACCAACATGTAAATGTATAGTCAAAATGTGGTATAATGCACTACATAATGACATTTGGTCAATGACAGACAAATAAGGTTATAATGCAGCTGAACACTTCCTATTGCCCAGTGATGTGTAACTGTTGTAACATTGTTGTGCAACGCATTACTCATGTGTTTGTGGTGATGCTGGTGTAAACAAACCTACTGTGCTGCCAGTTGTATAAGTATAGTGCATAGAATTATGTACAGTGCATAACACTTGATAATAACTCTGTTACTGGTTTAAGTATTACTGTGGTTTTTATCTTTATTTTAAAGTGGACTTCTACTTCTGAAAACGAGTTAACTGTGAAACAGCCTCAGGCAGGCTTTTCAGGATGTGGAGTGAAACTAACCCAAGAGCCATGGTGAGTGAGAGCAGCGCAGTCACACCCCATTTGATCCTGGAGAGGGAAACTCTCTGAGCTGAGACACTGTGGTGGGGAAAACTCCCACCAACCACTTGAAAGGGGTATCCAACAGAGACTTCTGGTTTGGGCTTGGAAACTACCAAATTGGGACTCAACTGTTTTCAACCAATCAGGACTGAATGAGTTTGAGTTCCTCATTTGCATATACAGACCGGATTGAGGACAGGGGCAGGACCTTTCCTTATTTAAGCCAGAACCCCTTTTTGTTCTCCAGAGCATGCTTTCTTTTTATAT